AACTAATTAATTAAACATTTAATTAAAAAAAAAAAAGGAACTGGGCTGTGATTGCCTCGGGGGAGGCTACTGATTGGGAAGGGGCACAAAGAGGCCTTCTGGGAGGCCAAAGAGGTTCTAAATCTCTATCCAGGTGCTGGATACTCTGTGTGCCTTATAGAACACCCAGCTCTGTACACTGAAGGTTTGTTCACGTGACTGCGTGTAAATTCCACATCCATTTCTCAATGGGCATGAACTAATACCCGTTTGTTTACCCAGGAGGGCATGGTGCTGGGTGCTGGGTAGACAGCAGGAAACAAAATAGACCTGACCTGATCCCCGGAAAATGGAGGACGCTGTGATGAGACGCGTGTTCAGACCTGACAGAGCTGAGTGTGGAGGGCAAGGACGTCAGTGACAAGGGAGAAGGGGGCACAGGAGAAGCCAGAGGCTGAGGGGGATGGGTCAGCCCCATCAGAGGCAGGGAATGTCCAGGCCGGCTGGGAACTGTCTGGGGGAGGGAAGGGTGGAGAACGACCTGCCCTGACATTTCTGAAGGATGACCTCACTGCAGCTAGGAGGGTGGCTCAAGGAGGATGCCCTGGGAACCTGGACACAGAAGAGAGGCCCCCACTGGCGGGAATTACCCCGGCCTGGGTTATCCAGCACTGGCCAGCCAGCAGGGCTGTGTGATAACAAACCCTGCCGTCTGATAACGAAAGGGGCCCAGTAAACCCTGCTACTGGGTAAACAGAGTCCTGCACCACCTGCCCTCCCCAGGCCTCCCTTTCAGTTCCTTCTCAGAGGATGCAGTGGCCACTTGGTCACTCCTCCCTGCAGCCATGGCTCTGCCTAGCACCAGCTGCAGCCCTCAGCCCCAGCCCCAGGGTGTGCGACCCCCCCCCAACCGTGCATGCTGAGCATGCATCGGTGTCCCTGATCAGCATGGAGACACATCTGTGTGCCGCACGGCACCAAGACTGCACACGCCTGCTCTCACGCTGGCCCCACGTGGAAGGTCCTGCCATTATCTGCCCCCTGCAGATGAGGAACTGAGGCTCACATGCCCACACTCACACAGCTATGGAGAGGCAGAGCTGGGATCCAAACTCAGTCTGCCTGAGTCTGTGGCCTGTGCACTCCACCACTCACCCTTGGCCCTCCCTGGGGGCAAGGGCAGGCTTCTTTGGGGACGGGCTGCTGCAAACCCCATTCTGCCTCACAGCAGGAGGCCAGCATCCACACTCTCCAAGCCTTGCCCACACTGTTCCATAGTCTGCGGAATACACTCCATCATTCCTCAGCTCCCCCAAAGAGGGCCACCTGGGGTTTTCAGGGGTTCAGGCAGAGGGCGGGTTACT